GCCTCCTGGGTTCAAGCAATTCTCCTGCCTCAGCCTCCTGAGTAGCTGGGACTACAGGCACGCGCCACCATGCCCAGCTAATTTTTTGTAGTTTTTAGTAGAGACGGGGTTTTACCATGTTGACCAGGCTGGTCTCGATCTCTTGACCTCGAGATCCACCCGCCTCGGCCTCCCAAAGTGCTGGGATTACAGGCTTGAGCCACCGATTAATATAGATTTTAATAACTCCCAATGATATTTACAATCTCATAATCTCTAAATAATTTCTTTTAGAAAATTTTCTTCTAATATAAGTGTATTTAGGTTTCATTTATTGCTCAACCTCAATGCAACTAAAAATGGAATCAGCAGAATAGATCACTCATGCATTCAGAAGGCGCATCTTCACGTCAATAAAGCTGCCTTTAGGACCTCACCAAGTCACTGTCCTCAACTGGAAGTTGAGAATTCTAAAATTCCCTTCTCAGCTCAAAATCTTATTCTGTCCCACTTGTTCCACTCAATGTGCTCCTTTACTCAGAATATCTTTTTCCTACTAGTCTGTTCAACTTGTTGCCAGGTACTACTGAAGAAAACTAAAATCATTAGCCACAACTGACTTCATTAAAAATACGTATTCCATACAATGGTGTACTATTCAGCCATTAAAAAGAATGAAATCCTATCATCTGCAACAACTTGGATGGAACTGGAGGTCATTATGTTAAGTGAAATAAGCCAGGCACAAAAAGACAAACTTCGCATGTTTTCACTTATTTGTGGGGGCTAAAAAATAAAACAATTGAACTCATGGAGATAGAAAATAGAATGACGGTTGCCACCGAAGCTGAGAGGGGTAGTGGTGGTTGGGAGAAGATGTACAGAGTATAAAAATATACTTAGATAGAGGTCGGGCGCAGTGGCTCACACCTGTAATCCCAGCACTTTGGGAGGCCAAGGCAGGTGGATCACTTGAGGTCGGGAGTTTGAGACCAGCCTGATCAACATAGACAAACCCCGTCCCTACTGAAAATACAAAATTAGCCAGGTGTGGTGGCACATGCCTGTAATCCCAGCCAGTTGGGAGGCTGAGGCAGGAGAATCACTTGAAACTGAGAGGTGGAGGTTGTGGTGAGCCAAGATCACACCGCTGCACTCCAGCCTGGGCAACAAGGGCAAAACTACGTCTCCAAAAATGAAAAAAAGATAGATAGATAGATAGATAGATTGAATTTGACAGCACCACAGGGTGGCTACAGTCTACAGTAAGTTACTGTACATTTTAAAATAACTAAGAGTGTAACTAGATTGTTTGTAACATAAAGGAAAAATGCTTAAGGTGACAGATATCTCATTTACCTGATGTAATTATTACACATAATATGCCTACATCAAAATATCTCATACACCCCATAAACATACACACCTACTATAGACCCACAAAAATTAAAAGTTTAAAAATATGTACTCCAGCTGTATCTGGGCCTTCATTATTGCTAGACCAGTAGTTCTTAAACTGTATCAGCTCCAGAATCTCCAGAAGGGCTCATTAAAACAGACTGCTGGGCACCACCCCCAGAGCTTCTGATTCAGTGGACTGGGCGCAGGGCATAGGAATATGCATTTCTAACAAGCTCCCCAGGGATGCTGAGGCTGCTGATCCAGAGATCACACTTTAAGAATTACTGTACTGGTCAAGTGTTTTGCTTTTTCAAGTCTGTTTTCCAAAGCAGCTGCACCATTTTGTACTCCTATTAGCAATGTATGAGGGTTCCAATTTTGCTACATCCTCACCAATGCTCATTATTTTTAGTTTGTTTTCTTAATAGCCATCCAGTGGGTATGAGCGGCTAGTGTTTCACCTGTGTGATTACTGCTGGCCTCCCCCTGTCATTTTTCCCTCTCTACTGGAGCATTTCCTTCAACATACAAACTCTAATTATGCTCTAATTATCTCCCATCTTTAAAAGGCCCCTTCTTTAACTCCAGGTTCCCTCCAGGAACGACCCCTTTTATTCCCTCTTTTCTAGGACAAACTCCTAAGAGAGTCTATACTCACTGTCTCTACTCGATCAACTTCCATTTTCTTCTGAACCCATTGTTTTTAGGCTCTCATCCCACCATTTCACTGAAATGCCTTTGTCAAGGTGACCAAGACAGCTGATCTAATGGCCGGCCTGAGGCCTCCTCATCCTCCGTGCAGGACTTCCTTTCCCTGCTGGGTCTCCGAACAGCGTCCTCTCCTGGTATCCTCCTTCATTCATCCAGAGCTCAGCCCAAATGTCACCTGATTAGACCCTCCTGGCCCCCTCTCTTTTTTGTCTGAATACTTTTTTTAGCAATGTAGTCTCACTCACTGTGTTGCCCAGGCTGGTTTCAAACTACTGACCTCAAGCAATCCTCCTGCCTCGGCCTCCCAAACTGCTAGGACTACAGGCATGAGCCACCATGCCTAGCCCTGACCCCCTATCTAAACAGCTAAATATATATTAAAACGTGTATTTTTGTTCAGATAGAATACCCATACCCAGTTCCCAACACTTTAAACTATACTCATCTTTTAGAAAAGCGATAACACTTTCCTCTGGGACATCTTCCTTGGCTCCAACACTGCAGAGGGAACTGTTGCATAAAAAATAATTCCTAGGTTTTATATAATAAAAAGCTGACTTGCTACCTTCAAAAAATAAAAGTATGATGGAACACTTCTGTTTTAACACAGGAACTTACATGAGTTCTGTAATCATCTATACGTCCACACCAAGCTCAGAAAGCAGACCAGGCACTCCACTGACCTTGGCTTTAAATGACAGGTAACTGTATCTGTCATTTAAACATTCAACGGGGAACAGAGCACCACACACAACTCTACCCCTTCCTATCTAACATCTCTCCAGATTTACTAAACCTGTTCTCCAGACACTATGAGGTTCATTTAGAAATGACTGAGCAGGTTCAAGAGCAATGTAGCTGGTTTGTTTTTTATCTGAATAAATAAGGAATTTTCATCAATCTTAGACAAACATCACACATCCAGATCTAGAAATAACAATATAATACACTGGAAGGACATCCTGGGGTAATCTTTCACGGGCTCTCAAATCACAGCAATCAATTCCTAACATTTGATGCCATTTTCTCAGTTTTGACTTTTTCATTCAATTTCTTACATACAGCAATGTATGAATACAGCACTTTAAACATAACTAGGGCCAAGCACAGTAGCTCACACCTCTAATCCCAGCACTTTGGGAGGCCAAGGCAAGTGGATCACTTGAGGCCAGGAGTTTGAGACCAGGCTGGCCAACAGGGAACAAAACCCTGTCTGTACCAAACATACAAAAATTAGACAGGCATGGTGGCGGGTGCCTGTAATGCCAGCTATTCAGGGGGCTGAGGCAAGAGAATCGCTTGAACCTGGGAGGCAGAGGTTGCAGTGAGCAGAGATCCGAGATTATGGCATTGCACTCCAACCTGGGCAACAGAGCAAGACTCTGTCTCAAAAAAACAAAAACCAAACAAACAAAAAACATAACCAGGTTTGACTGGTACTGGAAAATACAGAGTGAAATATAGATGGTACAGGAAAAACATTACCATTATTGTTCACTAAAACCAAACTTAAGTTGGATAATTACTAACCAAGATTTTTTTTTTCCTTTTTTCTTTTTGCCAAGAGGCTTTTTTAAAAAATTTAAGACTGGCTCCACTGAGGATTTGAACCAGCAACCTTGCAGTTGCAGGCCCTATACCTTTACTACTGGGAAAACACGCCACTTTCTCTTTTGCTTTTTGTACAGACGAGGTCTCACTATGTTGGCCCAGCTGGTTGCAAACTCCTGGCCTCAAGCAATTCTGCTGCCTCGGCCTCCCAAAGTGCTAGGATTCTAGGCGTGAGGCACAACGACCGCCCTAGCCGAGACTGAATTAAAAACACAGAACATAAACTCTGTGTTTTCTCCTGACAGAATAGATTTAGAAGTACATATTCCAGCAACATAAAGAGCAAATGCTGACCTCTGACTTGTTAAAAACAAAGATAATTTAAAGTAAAATATAATTACTTTATCTAACAGCTTGATTGCAAGATCCTCCATAAACAACTTATGGGACATATTGGAGCCATCTAATAAACACAGGAATTTGATAGCACAAATTCTCACATAATGGTCTTCTCTCTTAGTACTAAAAAAATTAAATGATAAATTATGTTAACACATTTTGAAAACAGAAAGATAACATCAAATATTACTTTCAAGTATCATTACATAACCAAAATCACTCAAAGTTTTCTAAAATTAAGTAGGTCCATACTTAACGACAATACTTTTAAATTCAGAATAGATAATAGAAGATGACAAATGAATATATTACAAGGAGGGTCTGTACAGAAAGTATGAGTGAGCACAAATTAATCTAGACTTCTGGAGAATCAGTGCACACGCTACTGACCCTAGGTCAATAACACCTTATCTGTGGACAAAACAGATCACAGCCCATGAGCCTGTCCCTGAAAGAGGACCACAGATACCTCCGTTCACTCAGGGGCATGAGTGCATGTCAAACATGTCAATGGCCTTTCTCTACCACATGCTATCAGTGCACGTTCCCCAAATGAGGGGCAAACTCAGGAAGCACTGTGTGCTCTGAACACCTGGCATTTTCAGTAGCCAAATGTGGAGAGATAAATAAAGTGAAATTGTTAGTATTTTCACATTCCATTATAATAGTTATAATGTGAATACATATTTAAATTTAATAACAAAGCAAGTGTCTAGTAGAAATCAAAATCAAATTATCTGGCAACCATCAACTAGAAAAATTCACTTTTATTGCCACACTAAGCCAGCCAAGAAAATATAACTAAAAACAATGAAAAAACTATAAATATATTTAATGAGGAAGGACAGATGATTTAAAACATAGTTAGGACTCTCGGAATAATAAATACTTTATGATATCTAAATATTATAATCATTTGATGTCCTAAACTCTAAAATGAGAGTGAATGATACAATGTTATTTTAATCTTCTTTATAAACACACATACACATTTTTGAAAGCCATGTGAAAAAATAGAACTTGAAAAAAAGCTATTTGGCAAGCTCCAAAAAAATTAATTCAGTGGTTAGATAAAAATAGTCTTAGCCAAGAAATCAAAACTTTAGGGCCTATCCCCAAACTCATCAAGTTGTACACATTAACTATGTACAGCTTTTTACATGTCAATCATACCTCAATCAAGAGTTTTTTAAAAACCAAAAAATTTTAGAATCTGTTCCAAGAGTAATTCTATTTTTGTGTGTAACATACCAACTTGTTAAATGGTGAATTTTAATTTCATATTAAACTTTACAGCCAAAAAAAGGACTGGAGAATAAAGTGTCTGTGCTGATGATCATCCTATCCCCACAAAAGAAAGACAAGGGGTTTTAAGTTTTCCTGAGTAATTTCCTTGTTTATGCTGGGCTTCGCACTAAAAACTTTTAAAATGTTACCAAATTTTAGTGAATAGTGAAAGATGTAAAGACAGTATATTAGCAAGGGACTATAATTTCTAACATACTTTTGAAGGCTCATCTCATTAATATATTAGATATCACCAGCAACATTTATTAAATTTAGCAATTACAGAATGTTTGCCATACGATGTTACATTTTTAATATTTATGTAAAAACAGAGAAAATCTACCATACTCACTTTTCCATAATGGTATTTGCTGCACAGTCATGTCCAAGGTTTTCTATGAAGGTCTGTACATCCTGAATAAGTCTTTCCATAAAAAACATTTGATAAAGAACAACAGGTTTTAAATAGAAAAAAAATTAAATCCCCAAGGTTAAAGTTAACTAATAATTTATAATCTCCTAATTGAAAGCCTCAAAACAAAGAGATAATTCTACACCCAAGCAGGCACTTAATACAAGTTGAAATAATAGCATCTTTTACCTTTGATCACGCCTAAACACTGTTCCAAATGTACAAGCCTCAAGGATAAGTTCACTATAATTTTTAGCACTTGATAAAGATCCTTGGGACACATTTGAAGTAGACACTATCCAAGACTGACAGCAGTAACTTATCAGTGTATTGAAGACTCCAGTCTTTATAGCAGACATTTCAATTATCTTGTACATAATCTGGAATAAAATACAATGATCATTTTATCCTTTGATTTAGTTTGAAAAATATTAGTGCCGCTAAAAACTGTTAGTTTCAACATAGTCATGGTCTAAAAAATGTTAAATTCCTTATTGTTAGAATAACTCTGCAAGATGATCAATAATCAGAGAATGCTCACTATTTCATCTCTTGGTAATAAAAATAAATAAAATTTTACTGATAGTGATATTCATGCAGAACTCTTCAAGGGAAACAACTGCCCAAATCAGTAGAATCAATGGGAAGAAAATACCGCAGCCCTAACACATTCAGTTTCCTTTGTCTGCATTTTGCCAGTGGCCTTCCTTTGAGGCAGCAAAGACCAGCGACTCTAAGTATGTACTATGGGGCAGAAAAGGACCAAGAAAGGCAGCACAGCACTGCAGACAAATCACAGAATCTGACTCTCCTCATTCCCCTTGGATCAGGAGGTACATTGGAATTCCACCTTGGTAAGATCCCTACTATCTCAGTGGCTGCAAATGAAAACACCTCTAGAAACCAGCAAGACCTTTTGATAAGAATTACAGTTGGAAAAATATTTCTCTACAAAAAAAAAAACAAACAAACCCAGCCAAAGTGCAATGACAAATGGCACCTGACATTTGCCTGCAAGATCTAGGGGAAATGAGACTGACTGTGGAAAGAGCATTCCAACTACTCCTACTCAATCCAGCAATCAATCACACTGCCCCTGGAGGAATGACCAGTGTTGCTAGATTATCTCATTTTCCAAGAGAAGGAGAAATCCAGTTTTCATACAGATTTCCTAACACTTTTTTTTTTTTTTTTTTTTTTTTTTTGAGACAGAGTCTTGCTCTGTCGCCCAGGCTGGAGTGCAGTGGCATGACCTCAGCTCACTGCACTGCCTCCTGGGTTCAAGCGATTACAGGCGCACGCCACCACACCCCGCTAATTTTTGTATTTTTAGTAGAGACGGGGTTTCTCCATGTTGGCCAGGCTGGTCTCAAATTTCCGACCTCAGGTGACCCAACTGCGTCAGCCTCCCAAAGGGCTGGAATTACAGGCATCAGCCACCGTACCTGGCCAGATGTCCCAACAATTAAAAGTTGCCAGCTAATCAAAATTTTAAACACTGTATGAACCAAATAAACCATTGCTGAGGGCAGATGTGGCTCCAGACTACTGTTTTTTACCTTCTCTTTTACATCTGTCAGATTTTCTCATTCCTACTCTTGATATTTAAGAAGGTTCAAACATATTTTCTGACTGAAGGAATTAAGAACCACAAATCTAATTACAAATACAACTGTCATGTTCCTCATGTGCTGAAGCTCGCACACATGAACCAAAAAGCAAAAAGAAAAATAAAGTTTGTTACCTCTTTTATTTTGAAATATGCCTGGCCCTTGATTTTGGCAGCAATGCTAAGAACTTTGTTATCAAAAACAAACTGAACGAAAGCTTTCAAATTAGGCCAGAATATCAGCTGAGTGTTGCTTAAAGAAGATATAATTTTCCAAGCCATGTCAAAAGACTCTATGCAGAGTGATTCAGAGGAGGTCAGAAGCTGGTAGGGGGAAAAAAAATACGTACTTTATTCCGAAACTTTGTTCGCCATTCCTCTAGTTACACTTCAATTTATGTTTCACTCTATCTTACCTTGGGAACCAACACTTTCATGCAATGGAACACGGGTAAAACTTGATCAGAAGAGAGAACTGTGAGGGCTTCCAGTGCAGACTGCAAAGTCCTTACTGGCATCTGAACAGCAGGTAAAAACGGTTCCAGAATTTCACTCCCTGTGGTTGGTATAAGGGTGTGATATTTTTTCAACAGGAAAGAGAGGCACACCCACTGATCATGAATATATTGTGCAACTATTTTTCCCCATCCTTGGGAAGATGATGATTCTTCCAAAACACTGAAATTTAAAAAAAAAAAAAAAAAAACCACTGAAATAAAGTTACTAGGCCATTCTTCCCCAATTTGCCTCCACGACTTTTGCATGTAGCACACTATCCTTCTAAAGGTGTGAGTGTACAGATATAAACGGTCATTATCCAACAGGCTACCTACCAAAAACTAAGGAAACCCCATAAACCTTAATTTTCTAACTTCTCTGAAAGTAGGCGCTTTTGCTCATCTTAAATGATTCAGTGAAAACTAGACGCAGAAAAGTCGGCAAGTCTCCAGTAACAGAGATGAATAAGGTTATATTACACTTTCATCCTGAATGGAGCTTCAGCTCCAAAATTCTATAACTCTATAAGCAATGTTGGGCAATCATGAGCCCTTGATGACAACAACAGAAATGGCTTTTTAAGCCTTAACCTTCCCTGTACCTGCTGCACTCTGAGGGGTGGGTATAACTTCTCTGCTCCTCTGCATGGGGCTTCTGCAGCATCTGATTGAGGTGAAGAGAGGAAAGGAAGCTTTCCATGGGCCCAGCATGGAGAGAGTCCAGCTGCAGCTCAGGCTTCTGGTCTATGGCCTCACACACCATGGCCAAGGCAGCCATGCTCACTACTCTCTGAATCTGACTTCCAAGTGTTGGCTCCTGAAAAGGAAATGTGACAATGATTTATTTAACATGCACAAGTCTTAATCAGTAAGGACCTGAGTTGCCAGTCTATGGAAAGCTCAGACTCTCCTTTTCCCTCTTCCAGTCTGCTCCTGAGTATCAGGAGAAATGAGGGGAAATACAGCACACATCATTCACTTTCACTACTTCTCTATAGATTGGCAGTGAACAATTTTAAAGTGGCAATAAGAACTCAGCAATTTAGATTAAGACAACAATGGGATCTTTTCATTTGGTAAACAAGTACCTGGAACTAGTACATGACAGATTTGCTGTGTAAGTCCTTCTCAACCTTCCTCCTACTCACATACACATTTGCATGCAGTATTCCTGTGGGTGAGCCTTATTTTAACTGTCTGCTGAAACATGTTAAAAAAATAAAATAAAAGGCTCCATGTTACAAATAATTCCTTCAATCAGCTGCACACTACTTTTGGAGAAGTCACGTAGCCCAGCAGTTAAGAGCTGGACACAGGAACCACACAGCCCAGGTCTGCTTCCTAGCTCTGTGTTACTACCAGTACGAGTGTAGACATACTACACATTAGTTTTCTCATCTGTAAAATGGGGACAGTAACAGAATCTACTTCATGGGGCTATTGCATGTAAAACACTTGGAACTCTACCTATAGGAAAGGAGGATAGCCAAGACAGCCAGGTCTATACTTAAAGAGGAAATCAACAATCTCTCACCAAGCTAGGAGTGCAGGCAAGAAGTCGGACACAGAAAACAGCACTGAGAGATTTCAGCAGCAGCTCTCTCAAATACTGCCAACCAGTAATGTCTCTAGCAGAAAGGAAATCTCTACTTATTCCATACCCTTCCCTCACTGTCCAAAAATAAATTAACCATCTCTACAGAAAAATTTTACATATCAACACTGCCAACATATAAAATAGAATTTAGTTTTACCTTTGAGCCAACTATGGTCCTTGCTAACCTTAATGTAATTCAGTGAATTACTAAAGGAAGCCGATTTTTAAGAATAAGAGTTACTGTGGCATGGCTCATGGTTTTGTTCTACATTTAGAACTCACAATGTTCTTTCATAACACTAACAGACTAATACATACTAGATAGGATGCTGAAATATTAAGCATCTTCTTTATCATTTCCTTCTAGGATAATACAATTAAATTATTAAAGCAATCAAGTACCTTCTTTGTTTTTCTCAGTAGCCTGGACTAGTTAGACCAAGTTCAACTTTATTAAACACTTACCACATGTTAAGTGAAAGTGGTTAACTTTTATTGAGAACTTTCTATGTGCCAGGTACAGTTCAAAAGATTTAACCTATCTGAGCTTTCTTTAACTCCCACATCAGCTCTATAATCCCCATTTTGCAGGTGCAGTAAATGAGACACAAAAAGGTTAAATAATTTAGGTCACACAGTTAGCAAAAAATAAAGCCAGAAGTCAAACCTAGCAACTCTAATTCCAAAGCCTGTGTTCTTCATTACTAAGCCTTATTGTGCTATGTTTAAGAAATGCCTTGGCTGGGCACAGTGGCTGACGCCTGTAATCCCAGCACTTTGGGAGGCTAAGGAGAGCAGGGCACCTGAGGTCAGGAGTTCGAAACCAGCCTGGCCAACATGGTGAAATTCTGTCTCTACTAAAAATACAAAAATTAGCTGGGCGTGGTCGTGGGCACCTATCATCCTAGCTACTCAGGAGGCTGAGGCAGAAGAATCGCTGGTTGCAGTGAGCTGATAGTACCACTACACTCCAGCCTGGGCAAAAGAGTGAAACTCCATCTCGGATTTAAAAAAAAGAAAGAAAGAAATGCTTTGAGGCCAGGTACGGTGGGTCACCCCTATAATCCCAGAACTTTGGGAGGCTGAGGTAAGCAGATCACTTGAGGTCAGGAGTCTGAGAACACCCTAGCCAACATGGCAAAACTGCATCTCTGCTAAAAATACAAAAATAACATAGCTGGGCATGGTAGCACATGCCTGTAGTCCCAGCTACTTGGGAGGCTGAGGCAGGAGAAGTGCTTGAGCCTGGGACACTGAGACTGAAGTGAGCCAATATCATGCCACTGAACTCAGTGTGGGTGACAGAACAAGCCTCAGTCTCAAAAACAAAGAAATCTAGGAAAAGATATGTATACATATATTCCTTCAAAAACAAGAAAGATGGAAATACACACTGTAACTAAGGTATAAAGAGCAACAGGAAAATGAAGGAGAGTGAGATACTAATCAAAGAAGACCTCTAAGAGAAAAGAGATTCCAGTTGGTCCATAAAGGAGGGACCAGATGCTGACAAGCGTCTATTGGAGGAGAGGGCACTCATTCTCCGTGGAGGGACCCAACTGAATGACAGCCTCAATGAGGAAGATATGACACGTGCTTGTGATTTGTAAAACTCTATGTAGCCTAGAGTGGTTGCAATGTCACGGCACTGTGGCAAGGAGGGGAAAGGCAGTGGACAGTGGACAGGTAGGCTAGAAAATGTGGTAGGAAGCCAAGATGTCAGACTAATAAAATGTCCCGTACTGGACATGCTTGGGCAAAAGACCTAGCACAGGTCAAATGTCTGTATCCAAAGGTTTTAAGATCGATGCCTCTTATGTGTTTAATATTACGTTAAGGGTAGCACCTGTAATCCCAGCACTTTGGGAGGCCGAGGTAGGTGGATGACAAGGTCAGGAATTCAAGACCAGCCTGGCCAATATGGTGAAACCCCGTCTCTACTAAAAATACAAAAATTAGCCAGGCGTGGTGGCGTGCGCCCATAATCCCAGCTATTCAGGAGGCTAAGGCAGGAGACTCTCTTGAACCCAGGAGGCAGAGGTTACAGTGAGCTGAGATCATGCCAGTGCACTCCAGTCTGGGTGACAGAGCGAGACTCCGTCTCAAAAAAAATAAAAAGAAAAAAAAGAGTATCAATCTTAACCACATCTTATCACCGGAGGGTATTATTTTAAATTTGAATTTTAGTAAATGCTTTGTATGGTAACAAAATAATGTGTAACAACTGAATATGTATTCGCTGGATACCTTATTCAAGATAATTACAAATCTTGAATCAGAGACTTACCTGTCCACTGCCCATCTCTTGAAGATGCTGAATTGATGCATTTTTCAAAAGAGAAATAACTCTCCAAATAGGGTTACCCCTTTTCCACCCAACCTTCAAATGCAGATTTATAAGCTCGTTTAACACCCTCAGGTATAAATGGCAACGATCCAGATCTGAAACCTAAGACAAAGATAAAAACACTTATGGGTACAAGCAAGGTCCATGATTTTCACAAAACTACAAGTCTTCAGGCAGGAAAGGTTTACTTAAAGGACTACGACAAGACACTGAGGAGAAAATAAGCCCTTTTCTCCAAGCAGCCTTCCATAACCTATGCAGAGCTAAGGACTTCCTTCTCTGTGCTTCCACAGTGACTGTGCATTCAGCACAATTACGGTGCATTTCACGATTGAGTCATCTGTCTCCCGACCTGTGAGGGAGACCTTAGACGGCAGAAATTACCATCTATCAATTCTTACATCCCAGGGCGAGTACATCAGAAATAACAGTGATAATGGTTATAGCAATGACTACTTCCATTGTTTACAAAAGTCACTTTTCACAAAAAAAAATCACTGTCCTACTTTTGTAAGATAACGAAGTTTCAGAGAGGTGAAACAACTTGCCCAGTAGCTCGGAGCCAGTAAGAGGGACAGCATTAAATGCAAACTTTTTGACTCATGCACCTAGAATAAAATGGGTTCAGCTCTATTATTCACTAGCTCTGTGACATAGGACAAGTTATTTAACTCTTCATTACTAAGCCTTATTGTGTTAAGGTCTCATAATCCAGGCAGGGAGACAGATGACTCTATTGTGAAATGTGCCATAATTGTGCTGAATGCAGTCACTGCCTAACCTCGTCGTTGTCCGTAATATATCCATCACATGGTTTGGAAAGTATCCATTATGTTTATGACAAAACAGTCATTGACAACTTTAGCAAGAGCCATTTCTGTGTTGTACTGGTGAAAAGAATGAAAGAAAAGAAAAAGTTATTCCAAAGAGTACTTACACTATTCAGCTCATTCATGGTAAGTCTTCTGAGAATAAATTCAGAAATGCTCTCTGTAGTAGACATGACAAAGTTCTGAAGAACAGTAAACACCTCATCTGTATGGGGGAAAAAAGCATGCGACTAAAATGACAGCAGTTCTTTGGTACAAAACACACAAGATATTCTAGTAAATGTACAACTGGGCTAAGCACATGAGTGAATCACTTGCCAAAAATAAATTGCAATAATATAATAATCATTCATCTCATGGGGAAATCTATACTTAATCTTAAAAGTCACGTAGGAGTCTCAGTTCTGGATAGAATGAATCAGGGACATTCTTCCCTCCACCACTGAACACAGCTATAAAACCTGGACGGAAGACATAAAGCAGATATTTGAAAACTCTACAAGGAAAAAGTAGCAGGTAGATTCAGAGAGAAGTGACACGGAACAGTGATCAGTTTACTGTTCCTTCCTCTGGTCCTCCTCCCAACTGTAACCAGATGCAGCAGCAGTCAACAAGGTGGGCAGCAGAACAGGTGCCAGCTTTTTGGTCAGAGAATGAAACAGGAGAACACCAGGAGAGCCGACCGTGAATACTGAGGAGATTCTAGAGAGGGAGGGATGCAGGAAAGCAGCCTCAGAAAGCTGTTTATGAACTCCTGGGCTCACCTCCAAGCTACACGTGCATGGATCTGATGCTAATCAGCATACCACAGACTTTCAGGACTGAACACACGGAGTCGCCACTGCCCAGGTCCCAGAGAGGTCAACAGATGGAACACATGTGGCATAGGTCCAAAGAGCATGGCAAAAAAGTGAAGACAAAACTGACAGCAGAACCAGCACCCACAGAAGCTAAGTCAGAACGCGAGGCCTCAACCTAACCAGGTTGACTGTGTGCTGCATAACAGCATCAACATTCTCTATAGGATTTAAACAAGATTTGGAGTTTCATATTGTAATATTCAAAACAGCTAGGATAGAATCCAAAATTACTAAACATATGAAAAACCACAAAACCCCCAGATCATATGGAAAAAAATCTAGAGATAACACCAACAAGATGACTCAGGTATGAGAATAATTTGACAAAAATAATTAAAGCAGCTCTAATAAAAATAAGATGACAGACCTAACCCAAAACTTAAGTAATTAAATTAAATGCAAATGGTCTATACCAAAATGATAGTTAGAGACTTCAAGGTTCCTCTCTCAGTAATAGATACAAGGAATAAATAGAAAATCACCACAGACATAGAACTGAAGAACACCATGAAAACTCTTGAATATAACTGACATTTATTGAACACGTCAGCCACTATTAAAATAATATTCTTTTCCAGCGTACATGAAACGTTCGCCAAGACAGACCATATGCTACACAATCTTAAAAAAATTTTTTTAAACTGAAATCATACAATGTATGCTCTGTGACCACAATATAATTAAATTAGAAAGCCGTAACAGAAAGACAACAGGAAAGTCTCCAAAGATGATCTAAATAATTCATAGGTCAAAGAAAAAGCTTCAAGGAAAGTTAGAAAATATTTTGAACTGAAAATGCAACATACCAAAATTTGTGGGATGCAGTTAAAGCAACACCTGGAGGAAAATTTACAGCACTGTCACTTCAGAAAACAAGAAACGTCTAAAAAACAATAATCTAAGCTTCTACCTTAACACTAAAAGGAAAAAAAAGTCAAAATAAACCAAATACAAGCAGAAAGAAGCAAACAAAAAACAGAAATCAATGAAATTGACCCAAAAAAAATCTATAGAAAAACAATCAATGAAACCAAAAGCTTGTTCTTTGAAAGGTCAATAAAATGATAAACCACTAGCAAGACAGAGACAGAGACAAAGACAGAGAGAGACAGAGGAAGAGAGAGTGCACGAGCACACATGAGTAAGCGCATGCATACACACACACATACACACACACACACACCCACACACACACACAAATCACTATTAGGAGTAAAAAAAGGAGCTATCACTACAGACCCCACAAGCATTAAAAAGGTAAGGGAATACTACTGACAATTCTACTGCCCCTGTTCACAGATGACATAATTGTTTACAAAGAAAATCCCAAGGAATCTTCAAACAAACAAACTCCTAGAATTAATAAGTTCTTCAGCAAGGTCCCAGGATACAAGGTCAACATACAAAAATGAATCATATTTCTATATACTAGTAACATACAGTTAAAAATCAAAATTTTATAAACTATCATTTACCACACCTTTTTATAACTATTCCCCTCAAAAGAAATAGTTATAAATCTCACAAAACCTGTATAAGATCTATATGCTGAAACTATAAAACTCTGAAAAAAAAAAATCAAAGACAACTTAAATAAATGTAGACACAGGCCAGGCATGGTAGCTCATGCCTGTAATCCCAGTGCTTCGGGAGGCCAAGGTGGGCATATTTCTGGAGGTCAGGAGTTTGAGACCAGCCTGAACAACATGGTGAAACCCATCTCTACTAAAAATACATTGGGCATGGTGGTGAGCACCTGCACTACCAGTTACTTGGGAAACTGAGGCAGCAGGATTGCTTGAACATGGGAGATGGAGGCTGCAATGAGCCAAGATTGCACCACTGTACTCCAGCCTGGGTGACAAAGTGAGACCCTGTCTCTAAATAAATAAATAAATGTACAGAAATACCATATTCATGCATTAAAAGTTTCAGCATAAGAAAGCAATTCTCCACAAACTGATCTATATATTTAATGCAATTCCAGTCGAGATCCCAGCAGGACTTTTTTTTTTGTAGGTACACATAAGTTGATGATATAATTTATATGGAAAGGTAAAGAAGCTAGAATAGCTAAAAATATTTTTGGCCAAAAGAAATAAAAAGAATCACATTACATATTTTAAGACTTATTATAAATCTACAGTAACCAAAACAGTGTGGTATTGGCAAAGGAACGAACACTTAGATCAAAAGAACAGAACAGAGTCCAGAATTACACCAAAACAAATACAGCCAAATTATTATTATTATTATCTTTATTTTTTGGAAATGGAGTCTCACTCTGTCCCAGGCTGGAGTGCATTGGCGTGATCTTGGCTCACCTGCAACCTCTGCCTCCCGGGTTCGAGCAATTCTCCTGCCTTAGCCTCCTGAGCAGCTGGGACTATAGGCGTTTGCCACCATGCCCAACTAATTTCTGCACTTTTTAGCAGAGACAGGGTTTCACCATGTTGGCCAGGATGGTCTCGATCTCTTGACCTTGTGATCTGCCTGCCTCATCCTCCCAAAGTGCTGGAATTACAGGTGTGAGCCACTGCACCCAGCCCAAATTAATTATTTTTAAACAATTTTTTGAGCGAGAATTCACAGAGCATTCAACCCCTATTAAAGGTATCTAATTCAATGGTTTCTTGTATAGTCACAGATATGTGTAACCATCACCACACTCAATATTACATTTCATCACCACAAAGAGAAACCTCATACCCTTTAAACCATCAGGCCCTTAACCCCTATTTTTTCCCAGCCGTAGGCAACCCCAATCTACTTTTTGTCTGTATAGATTTGCCTATTCCGGACATTTCATTTAAATGAGATCATATAACATGTGGTCTTAAGTGATCACCTTTCACTTAACATAATGTTTTCAAGGTTTACCCATGTTATAACATGTATTACTACTTCATTCCTTCTTAAAGTTGAATATGTATAAACCACATATTATCCATCTACCCATGTACTTTGGATTGTTTCCATCCTGGCCAATTAATTTTTGACAAAAGTACAAAACAATTCAACAGAGAAAGGATACTCAATCTCTCCAACAAACAATCCCGGTACAACTACACATCTAAAGGCAAAAAAAAAAAAAAAAAAAAAAAAAAAAAAACTACCCTTGACTAAACCTTACACCTTAAAAATTAACCCTAAATATATCATAAATCTGAAAGTAAAATAATAAACTATAAAACTTTTAGAAAAAAGGGAGAAAATCCTATATGACCTGGGGCTAAGGCAGAGTTCTCAGTCATAATACCTATTGCATGATCCATAGAACAAAACAAAAATAAACTGGATTTCATCAGAATAAAAACTTTTGCTCTGCAAAAGGCACTATTAAGAGATGAAAAGACAAGCTGCAGAGAAGAAAATATGTGCAAACCATGGATCTAACAAAGGACTAACTAGGAAAAGACTTGAATAGACACTTCTTAACATGCTGCATCTATCACTCTGAGAAGCGTTCATTCTTTAAGAGATTACATACATTAAAAATGAATTTTAAATGTTCATGTTACCCAGGGGCTTTATTATGCAGCCTCTGGAGTATCTTATGAGTCATTTTCCATGTCAAGAAGCCACCAGCAAATGATTGGAAAGTAAAAGCCTTTATTAAAAAATTAAAAACTATAACCAATGAATATGGGAAGGACAGAATGCTCCTGTCTTCCACATTCCAAAACAGAAGATACTACTCTTTTGCCTTTTCTTTCTCCTATACACATAGTCAACTCCTTAAATACTGAACTTACATCAATAGCATAAAATGATTTACTTTCCTCATATACAATCAAACTCATTCAATTAAAATAAATTTGAGATTTCAAGGTAAAGCCTAGGCCTTGGAGAACAGAGAACAAAATGGCATGAAGAAAAGTAGCTGCCATCAAGGCATCCAATATTATTGTCCTTACAACAGTGCCTCCTCTTAATTACCGCAATGCAGAAGAGCCTTTACTTCACCCTCAAGGCACATCCCCTGGTCACTGCCACATCTCGGAATTTAATACCCTGTCACAATATACAAACTGTGGGCAAAAGTTCAAGCCAGGATAAAAATTATGGTTTTGTTTCCTACTCTACGCCTCATATAATTTATAGTAGTAAACTGAATCCCAAAAGAAGTGGGACCAGAATTAGTCAAAAAGTGATCAGTCAAAATCATGATGAAGTACCACTTTATACTCATTAGGATGGGTATTATTTTTAAAGGCCCATTAACAAGTGTTGGAGAGAACATGGAAAAACTGGAACCCTTGGGCACTACTGGTGATAATGTAAAATGGTGCAGCCACTGTGGAAAAGTGTATGGCAGCTCCTCAAAAACTTAAACAGAATTATC